CTCCCATATGTTGCATAAGTGTCTCAATCTTCAACTTGTCGGTTTTTTAAACCATTCATCACAAGCTTTTTTTTTCCACTTAAGTCTCGAGACACTCCCCAGATAGGGAGCCAAGGCCGGATCACCACTACTTGGAAAAGACCCGGACCGGGAGAATACCGGCGAATAAGAAGAAGAAAAAAAAACATTTATTGGGGGAAAAGTCAAACTCGAATCATCGCGTCAGATTTTATTTCTCACCTGTAACAAATACCGCGTTTCCCCTGTTAAGCTTAGTAACGTATCTGACAGTGTTACTAAGACAACATCTGACAGTGTTACTAAGACAACAACTGACAGTATTACTAAGACAACAAATGACAGTGTTACTTAAACAACAGCTGGCAGTGTTACTAAGACAACTGACAGTGTTACTAAGACAACAACTGACAGTGTTACTAAGACAACTGACAGTGTTACTAAGACAACAACTGACAGTGTTACTAAGACAACAACTAACAATGTTACTAAGACATCAACTGACAGTGTTACTGAGACAACTGACAGTGTTACTAAGACAACTGACAGTGTTACTAAGACAACTGACAGTGTTACTAAGATAACTGACAATGTTACTAAGATAACTGACAGTGTTACTAAAACAACTGACAATGTTACTAAGATAACTGACAGTGTTACTAAAACAACAACTGACATTGTCACTAAGACAACAACTGACAGTGTTACTAAGACAACAAATGACAGTGTTACTAAGACAAGAAATGACAGTGTTACTAAGACAACAACTGGTAGTGTTACAAAGACAACAACTGGCTGTGTTACTAAGACAACAACTGGCTGTGTTACTAAGACAACAACTGACAGTGCTACTAAGACAACAACTGGCAGTGTTACTGAGACAACAATTGACAGTGTTACTAAGACAACAACTGGCAGCGTTACTGAGACAACTGGCAGTGTTGCTAAGACAACAACTGACAGTGTTACTAAGACATCTGACAATGTTACTAAGACAACTGACAATGTTACTAAGACAACAGCTGACAGTGTTACTGAGACAACAACTGGCAGTGTTACTAAGACAACAACTGGCAGTGTTACTAAGACAGCAACTGGCGGTGTTACTAAGAACAACTGACAGTGTTACTAAGACAGCAACTGACAGTGTTACTAAGACAACTCACAGTGTTACTAAGACAACATCTGACAGTGTTACTAAGACAACTGACAATGTTACTAAGACAACAACTGACAATGTTACTAAGACAACAACTGACAATGTTACTAAGACAACTGACAATGTTACTAAGACAACAACTGACAATGTTACTAAGACAACAACTGACAATGTTACTAAGACAACTGACAGTGTTACTAAGACAGCAACTGACAATGTTACTAAGACAACAACTGACAATGTTACTAAGACAACTGACAGTGTTACTAAGACAACTGACAATGTTACTAAGACAGCAACTGACAGTGTTACTAAGACAACAACTGACAATGTTACTAAGACAACAACTGACAATGTTACTAAGACAACAACTGACAATGTTACTAAGACAACAACTGACAATGTTACTAAGACAACAACTGACAATGTTACTAAGACAACAACTGACAATGTTACTAAGACAACAACTGACAATGTTACTAAGACAACAGCTGACAATGTTACTAAGAAAACTGACAATGTTACTAAGACAACAACTGACAATGTTACTAAGACAACTGACAGTGTTACTAAGACAACAACTGACAATGTTACTAAGACAACAACTGACAGTGTTACTAAGACAACAACTGACAATGTTACTAAGACAACAACTGACAGTGTTACTAAGACAACAACTGACAGTGCTACTAAGACAACAACTGACAATGTTACTAAGACAACTGACAATGTTACTAAGACAGCAACTGACAATGTTACTAAGACAACTGACAGTGTTACTAAGACAACAACTGACAGTGTTACTAAGACAACAACTGACAATGTTACTAAGACAACAACTGACAGTGTTACTAAGACAACAACTGACAATGTTACTAAGACAACAACTGACAGTGTTACTAAGACAACAACTGACAATGTTACTAAGACAACAACTGACAGTTTTACTAAGACAACTGACAGTGTTACTAAGACAACAACTGACAGTGTTACTAAGACAACAACTGACAATGTTACTAAGACAACAACTGACAGTGTTACTAAGACAACAACTGACAATGTTACTAAGACAACAACTGACAGTGTTACTAAGACAACAATTGACAATGTTACTAAGACAACTGACAGTGTTACTAAGACAACAACTAACAATGTTACTAAGACAACATCTGACAGTGTTACTAAGACAACAACTGACAGTGTTACTAAGACAACAACTGACAGTGTTACTAAGACAACAACTGACAGTGTTACTAAGACAACAACTGACAATGTTACTAAGACAACAACTGACAGTGTTACTAAGACAACAACTGACAATGTTACTAAGACAACTGACAGTGTTACTAAGACAACAACTGACAATGTTACTAAGACATCTGACAGTGTTACTAAGACAACAACTGACAATGTTACTAAGACAACAACTGACAATGTTACTAAGACAACAACTGACAGTGTTACTAAGACAACAACTGACAGTGTTACTAAGACAACAACTGACAATGTTACTAAGACAACAACTGACAGTGTTACTAAGACAACAACTGACAGTGTTACTAAGACAACAACTAACAGTGTTACTAAGACAACAACTGACAGTGTTACTAAGACAACAACTGACAATGTTACTAAGACAACAACTGACAGTGTTACTAAGACTACAACTGACAATGTTACTAAGACAACAACTGACAGTGTTAATAAGACAACAACTGTTTCCTTGGCAACATTTTTTCGGAACCATTTTAAATGAATTTTTGTATATTTTCATTAAGGAATGTCGATTTTGGCTCATAATTCGTAAATTTAGTATTCATTTCCCGTGCCATATACGTTATTATATATCGTCGTCCGTCAACACCAGGTCAGGTCATGTGTCAGGTCATGTGGGGTCCCGGCGTCAGGACTGAAACATTCGCATTTTTGCTTCTTATTTTCAAAATGTGGGATTTCCGAGTGATTTATTTGCGTGGCATTAAATTTATATGTAGTGTGTGTGTGACTAGAAAGAAAAAACAAGCGCTTGACTTCCCTCCTTCAGGACTCAAGTCTACATGGCTGATTTCCCTGAATCTGTTCATAAATGTTACCTTGCTCACACTCCAACAGTACCTCAGGTTAAAGAAAACCACTTGCTTCCACTTACTCCTAGTTGACGCGCTCACACATGACTGTTGGACGCCCAAGTAAATATCACTCTAGACCTCCTTGATGCCTCCGCCCCCCAGTTTCCCTCGGATGACCCTTATATCTCCTTCCCTCCATTTCAGATATATACACCCTCAAGTCATCCTATTTTGCTCCATCTCTAAACCAGACCGCCTCAACAACCCATCTTCAGCTGTCTGGATAATACTTTTTGTAACTTGTTTCTCGTTCTGATCTTTAAACTACGAATTCTCTGCATAATATTCACACACCATATTGCCCTCAGACACGACATCACTGCCTCCAGCCTCTTCTCACTGCAACATTCACAACCCATGCTTCACACCCATATAAGAGTGTTGGTTCACCTATACTTTCATACATTCTTGTGTTTTTCCTCAATGTATAACGTTCTTTTTCCCCACAGATACCTCAATACACCAACAACCTTTTTCTCATCATCAGTTTTATGATTCACCTCGTCTTTTATAGACTCATCCGCCGACAAGTCCACTCCCAAATATCTGAACATATTTACTTCCTCATTGCTCCTTCCAATCTGATATCCAGTCTTTCATTACCTAAATTTTTATTACCCTCATTACCTTGCTCTTTCCTATGCTCTCTTTTAATTTCTTTTACATACCCTTCCAGAGTCGTCAACCAACCACAGCAACTTCTTTTCAGAATCTCCCAAAAGCACAGTGTCATCTTCAAAAAGAAACTGTGACACCTGTCACTTTGAATTAGATTCTTTAAATTTTATTCCCACAATTCTTTCCAATACTCTAACATTTATTTCTTTTGCAACTCCATCTACAAATATGTTAAGTAACCATGGTGACATAATGCATCCCTGTCTGAGGCTTACTTTTACTGGAAAATAATCTCGTAAATACCTATTCCATACACTTGTAACATCTGTCACATTATTCTCCTACCCACCCTATCATATGCCTTTTATAAATCAATAAATGCAACAAAAACTTATCTAAATACTGTTCAGTTTTATGCTTCAATGTAACACTTGGTCTTCACATTCCTTACCCTTCCTAATATCTCATTGTTAACTGCGATCTGCTCTCCGTTTTACTCTTAATTCTTTAAATTTTAAACCTAATTTAAAACCCAGTTGTTCATTTTATTTCCCTTTTAAAATTTTAACATTTTTTTCCTCCCCTTTTCAAAAACGGGGGTCTTGACCCTGGACCCCCCTCTTTCAACATTAATTAAAATCCCCAAACCCCAAAAACTTTCCCCCCTTTTTTTTTTTTTTAAATTTAAAAAAATTTATTATATTAAATTTAAAATTTGGGAATTTTTTTTTATTTAATTAATTTTTAAATTTATGTTTTGAAAAACCTAATTTTTAAGGAATTTTTTTCAGTTGATTAAAAACTGTTTCCGGGAATGTATAATTTACCCAAACTTTGGGGAAATTTTAGTAAAAATGGTCCCTGCGGGCCCGGGACGGGCGGAAACAACCCAATAACTGTTTAAAGGAAATTAGTGAGTACCCATTGGTCAACAGTTAAAATTGTTTTGAGTGTGTGACTTCTCGGCCGGGAAGTGTCGGGTTGAGGGGGGACCTAATTTGTGCCCAGACGTTCAGGGGATCCCTGACCTCACTGGGGTTCGGACAGTTTCGTGATCCCTGCCCCAACTGTTCGGGAAACGGGTCAGTGATCTAAATTTAGCTTGTCAGGACGTAGTGATGTGCCCCTTACTGTGTCGGACAGTGCCCATTTGAGCTGCCCTAAACTTTTGCGGGACAGTTCGGGGATGCTGGACCTAACTGTGTCAGGACGTTTTCAGTGATGCTGACCCCAACTTTTGTCGGGGAAGTTCAGTGTTGGACCTAAATGTTCGGACATTTCCCCAGTGATGCTGACCCCAGTGTGTCAGGACTTTTCCCGGGAATGTTTTATCCGGGGTTTTCACAGTTGGTTTGTTAAAATTAACTGGGCAACAGTTATTTAGGGCCTTGTTTCGGGCTGGTAGGAATTTAAAAAGGGGGTACCTAATTTCGGGACATTCGTGACTATCACGTTAACCAGGGTATGTCCCCTTAGGGGGCCCCAGGACTGTCATATCCCCTTGTTTCCGGGGACTTTCATATCCCCCCAGGTTCCGGGGTTGCGTAACTATCACGTTCCAGGGAAATGTCACTATCCCCTTAACCAGGAATGTCACTATCACTTTTCCCAGGACTGCCCAATTATCACTGTTCCGGGACTGTCATATCGATTCCTTTTCAGGACCACATTTAACGCCCTGTTTTTCAATTTTAAAAAAGTATGTGACTTCACGTTAAAAAGGTATGTGAAACCTAACGTTAAAGAAACTATTCTACCCCCACGTTCCAAAGTACTGTCCCAATAAACGTTAAAGTACGGTGAGGCCCCAAAAACGGTTCCAAAGTAGGGTCCCTTACGGTTAACAGTTGTGGACTATCACGTTAAAGTACGTGACTATCAAGTTAAATTTATGTGCGCCCTAAACGTTAAAGTACGTAAAATAAACCCCCGGTAACTGTACGTGACTATCACGTTAACCCACAAAGAAAAGTTTTATCCTTTACCCACATTTATGTGAAATTTACAGAACCAAGTTTTTTTGGCCCCAAATCCCGGATTTCCAAAGTACTTAAAATTACATTTCCCAAAAGTATTTGTGACATCAAAAGTTCCCAAGGACTGTACAATCACAGTCCCAAAGGGTACTGTAACAATACAGAAAACCGGGTACTGTACAAATCCCATTTACCGGGTTCTGTACAATCACTTTTTCCCAAAGGACGTAAAAAATCACAGTTCCCCAAGGTTACGGGTCCTATCACATTTTACCAGTACGTACAATCACTTTTTCCCAAGTACGGTACAAATCCATTAAACTCAATTTCCCCTGGTACTATCCAGTTAAAAATTTACTGTGACTTTTCCATTTAAACCAAGTACTGTGACTTACCAGTTCCCGGGACTGTAAACTATCACAGTTACCAAGTTCGGTGAAAATTCACAGTTCCCGTACTGGGAAAAATCAAATTTTACCAAGT